TTGTTAGCAAAGGTTTGCTCATAATCATGTTCATGCTTAAGAATATGATTTCTTTTTAAGTGCAGGGCTGTTCCCCTGTGCAGGAACCCCATCCCAGTGAGTGAGCCCTCTATGCTATAAAAATTAAATATTAAACTATTATGATATAAATGAGCTTAATGCTTCAACATGACAGCTCCTGGTAGGAATATTTCCAGTGCTATGTCATGCTTCAGACTGATGTGATTTTGGGGTCTTACATGAGGGACTCAGAAGTCAGGGCTGATGAAGGAGGAACCTCCTACCCAGGCTCACAGCAGTGAGTGGAGTGTGCTTGGGGTAATTCTTTGTATGACCAATTTCATTCTCCTGACAAATTTTTAAATGTAGGGATGAATTTGTTTAGCATTAAAAATACTAATGATAAATCATAAATAAGATATAATAAATTAAATAGAGATTTTAATACAATAATTTAATAATTTAATATAATAAATATTAATATAAAATATTAATATAAATATTTTATAAATATAAAAAAATAATAAAATATTAATATAAAATTAATAATTTGAAAGTACAAATGATTAGTGCAGTAGAGATTATATTGGATGGAGTAGAAATGAATTCTTTTATAAGGGTTTGTGAACCTTCTGCAGTGAGGAGTTCAGGGAGGGAGGAAGGGCAGCAGTAASTGGGGATGAGATGACAACCCAGAGCAAGTCTCTTGGACTCAGTTTATTCACTGTCAGTGTCAGCGATTCTCAGCTTCTATTTAGAGGGCTCACAGCTCATTTTTTTGTTTCTCAGTCCCTTTTCTTCCCTTTCCCTTCAGCTGGGAAGCTGGGAGCAGCCACAGCAACCTGGCTGCCTTCCTCCCCTTTCCTTGTGACGGGCCTGGCAGGGCAGCCTTGGCCACAGCTTTTGCCAGAGCTTTTTTTGTCCCACAGAAATGTGCCGAGGAACCGCATGGCCAGAGACTGTCCCGCCTGCAGGATTTACAGCGTGGCAGGAGGGGATGGCCCCTGCTCCCTGCCTGTGCTGCACATGACCCAGGGCCCTTTGCAGGGATACTAAAATATTGCCATGCTCTTTTGTTCATCCCTTAGAATATAAGATTCCACCCCTTTTTTGAAACCACAGAGACAGACGTGGAAAGGCAGCCCTTTGAATTTGTCAAAATTTGACTGCGGGGTTCCTTCCGACCCCTGCGCTAATWTTTAGCAGAGCAGGAAACATTAAAAATAACCATGAGAGAAGATTTCCCAACTCAGGATTGTCCTCTCAATAATCTCTGGCTTTGTTTTCACTAGAAATTTCCCCCCTTTAAATTCCTGTAGCTCTGCCAGAGCRGGGCCACCCCTGCCAGCAGCAGTGAGGGCACAGCAGGGCACGGCACAGGGCCAGGTAGCCAGGCTGGCACCTGGGCTTGCTCTGAGCCAGAGGTGAGTGATGGATTTGGGAAATGCCTCTGATTTATTGGAAGAGCTTTTGTGTGTGAGCCAGAGCTCGCAAGCTCCACATCTTCCCTTTTGGGTGAGAACAAAACYGTTCTCAAGCCTTCAGCTGGTCTCAGCAATGRGTGAATCTCRCTTTTCCAATGACAGATGGCATTTYGGTGCTGYAGCTCAAGATTTCTGAGCCTCTACTGTGAAATAAAATGAAAAATATATCAGAACTTGTTTAAAAACACATCAGAATGTAGCCCCTTACTCTGAAGTTGAAATGTTGTGTGGCAGAACTGAGGCATGCATCAAGATTTTATGGTGTAGTAACAAGCTCTGCTCAAGCTTCAACATCTTATCTGACCCATGTCTGCATTCTCAGCATCAAGGTGTAACTATATATCATTAAATAATGCATCATTAATGGATTTCATATATTACAATATATAAATGATGTCCTCAGCCAAGGATGTCAGGGGATGCACCATGGGATCACCATGGATCACCATGGATCATTATTCCTGCAGGAACACCTGTGCCCATGTTACTCTTTGTGAGGGGTGAAACCAGGGTGTGTAATTGCAATTATCCCTCCCCTCTGTGTCTCCAGCTCTCTCCACTTACCCAGCTTCTCCTGCCCCAGCAACTGGGAATTCCATACAGATGCTGCAGATGGATTTTCTTTATGAACTGACTGCAACTGTTTTTCTTTTCAAAYGGGGAGGGTGTCCCACTGAGCTGCTTGGCCAGGTGCTCAACACAGCTGGTCCTGACTGGTGTGTGGTCAGAAAGGGAGATGTGAGTTGCTCACCAGCTGGGGTGGGATTTAAAGCATCCATGATTGATGGATTTTGTCCCACTCAGCCACAGCAGTGATGGATTTGGTCAGAACTATGTTTTGGGGGAAATTGRTTGAGTTTTCCCTCTACCTTGTCTTAAAGCATCAGGTTTGTCCTAGGTGTCATCMCCTCTTGCTGCAGTGAGTGATRAATTGTGTAAAGTGGGATCATTGGKTGTGATTTAGAGCAAGGGACTGTGATCAGGAGTGGGTGAAGGCACGAGTGAAATTTCTCCCTGGACAAAAAGCACAGCTAAAGCCACTGAGATGCTTTCTATTGCTTGGGATGTCCCAAAACCTCTCCTTTTTCATACACCTTTGCTGGTAGCTTAAGAGGAAGTGATTTTTATCCCCTCAAAGTGAAAACTTCCATTGAGATGGTTTTTGAGTGGGGGAATAGAGGGTTACTTGTTTTCCTGTTCCTTGTTTATCAAATAAATTAGAGATTGCTTCATTTCTAATTAAAATGACATGGAGGACAATTCAAACGAAAGACAATAAAGATCTCAACACTTCTGAGAGTTGCAGGCAGTGAATTCAGGCAGCCCAGATTTCAGACATTCTCTTCTGCTGTACCCTGGAAATTCTCTGGCTGCTCTTGGGAACCCTGCCTTGCTCACACAGACATTTGGCTGGGCAGGTAGAGCAGAGTCAATTAAATCTCCATCCCAGACTAACAAGACATTTAAAATTCTGTGTTAGTCTTGTCCATTCAGTGTTATGGCTGGCCAAGAGCCCCTCCAGAGCCCTGATGGATATTGTTTCTCTCAAGCATTAAATGCTTTCCCTCRAACATCTTCTGAATAGGCCATTGTTTTTCCTTCTGGATGCCTCTTTGTGGACTGATACAAGAATAGCTAAAAGCTGAAGAACTGGCATTTTATATTTAAACAAAAAAAAAAAATAATTCTGTGAGTTCTACTCCTCTGAGAAGCTGAATGTGCTGCCAGTTCTCTGCTCAGATCCCACGTCTTGTCCTCTGGAAGTCAGGGAGTTGCATCAGGAGCTTCAGACGAATCACCTCAAACAATCATAGATTCATGAAAGAAGTTTCACAAATCTGATGCTGTTCCCAGGTTTCAGAATCTCAGTAATGGAGGTGAGAGAAAGTATGGAAGTGGTGTTTGGTAGTTTGGTTGTGACCTGCAAGCTTTTGCTTTAACAGGCACAACTGCTTTATTTGTATTTTTTWWT